CTTGGGGTTACTTAAATCAGTGGTTTAGAATGGCTTACTACAACTTGGTGAACGGTGAGATTGTTCTGTTTTCAGAAGCTTGCAGGTGCCATGATATTCTAGGAATGGCAAAAATAACAATGTCCTAAGAGACCAGATTGCAGGCAGTATTTTAAGCCCAGTAATCAGTGCTGACTCATATCCTTTTTGTTTTCATTTTTCCTTCCTTCTCTAATTTCTTGGCCTTAGCACACATGCACAGAAAGCTTATTATCCTAACATTAGAAGTAAAGGTAACACCTCTTTAAAGAGTTCAGCAGTATTGTTCAACAGAAAGCCACCAGAGCTTCTGGAGGCCACGTGGCATAGCTTCCTGCTAGTTAGAAAAATGCCTTCCACTGCAGGGTGCTTAGTCAAGAGTTTGGCGTCATAAGGTATCCTAAAAGTCATCAAAGTCATTCTCTCTGTTCAGTCCTGGAATCTCACTCCACCAGCAGCGGGGCGGCTGATTGAAAACAACATTGATAAGCAAGGAAGACGATGTTAATGAGGATGACATTTATTGCTTACAAGAACCCTGTAAGGCAGATGCAAAGAGTACCATCTTCATTTAACCGATTAGGAAACTGAGGCACAGAGAGGTGAAGTAACTTGCCTAAAGTTCTCTCTCTAGTATGCAGTAGCAGTAGGATTTGAATCCAGGCTAACTCAGGTTCTGTGTTTTTGGTTAGGTACTTTCTGTGTGTGATTTTAATAACCAAAAGAACATTGAACTACAGTACCTACAACAACACCTTAGTTGCATGCACTTTTTAAAGCAAATGAGGCCAGGCATGGTGGCTCACAACTGTAATCCCAGTACTTTGGAAGGCCAAGGCAGGAGGATTGCTTGAGTCCAGGAATTCGAGACCAGTCTGAGCAACATAATAGAGCAACATAATAAGACCTCCATCTCAACAATAATTTCTTTTCTTTCTTTTTTTTTTTTTTGAGTCAGATTCTCACTCTGTCACCCAGACTGGAGTGCAGTGGCATGCTCACAGCCATCCCAGCATCAACCTGCTGGGCTCAGGCGATCCTTCTACCTCAACCTTCCAAGTAGCCGGAACCACGGGCACTCTCTACCATGCCCGGCTTAGTTTTTGATTTATTGTAGCGGTGAGGTCTCACCAAGTTGCCCAGGCTGGTCTCAAACCCCTGGGCTCAGCAGTCCTCTCGCCTCGGCCTCCCAAGTGCTGAGATTACAGACTTGAGCCACGGCGCCTGGGCAACATAATATTTTAAAAGTTAGCTGTGTGTGGTGGTGTGTACTTGTAGTCCCAGCTAACTGGGAGGCTGAAGCAGGAAGATCGCTTGAGCCCAGGAAGTCGTGATTACACTGAGTTCTGATCACACCACTGCATTACAGCCTGGACCTCTTAATAATATCCTGTCAATAAAAAAATAAAAACAAGTAATTGAAATGAATAAGGAATTCCTCTTCTTCCCTATATCTTTTTTTAAACATCTAGTTATTTTTCTCAGTAAATGAGGAGTGTATATCAGACGATGTGTCAAAATTAGCTTCACTATGTATCCCTTAAAAGTAGTTCATTGATTTTACACTGCATTAGCCACCCTGAAAATAACGTATGTTTAAAAAAAATCATAAACTGAAATAGTTGGGAAGTAGCACATGCATTTTTCACTATCATCATATTATTCAAAAAGTCCCAAATACAGCTGCAGAGGTCCCCTGAATGTGCTTTCAAATCTCTTTCAGATGTGCAGAAGATAAGATAGGAAAGTACTGGAACAAAGTGACCTTAAGCCCTGCAAATACATAAAAGTCAATATATTGAGTTCCAGTAGCCATAAAATGGATAAAGTTGTCCTTTAGTTCAGAGAACATAAGTACCACAGATCAAAAGCATTGTGAAGTAACAATGGATTTTCAGCAATTATCTGTTCCTTTTCTATAATTCCTGCTTCAGCGTAAGCAGTTAAATTACAATTTTGGGGTTTTTGTATATTTTTTAAGGAAGAAACGTGAGTGTTTCAGAGGAATAATTCCACATTAGAAAATAGTATCTTGAACCAGATGGCTGTGACCATAGAATATCATTTTGAAAATGGTCCACCTTTATCAGTTAAAAAATAATCTGCTAATTTACTAGCAGACAGGGCTGGTTGAATTAATCTATCAAGAATAGTGTGTCACTGGATCACAGTCCTTGAGATTGTGAAATACTATAGTCTAGCCAGTGCACTACTTGCTCAGGGCAACTAAGTAAGCTTCTAGAAGCTCATCATATCTTTAGACAAAGTCTCTGTAATCCAGAAGGAAGATCTGGTCTCGGTCCTGATAAATTGCCACCCTAATTTCCCAGAATTCTGTGAACTGGAAGTCACTACTGTCATCTGGCTAATGGGTCATTTTATGAATGTATTTATGTATGTATTTATTTATTTATGCATATATTTTTGTTTGTATGTATGTATGTATGTATGTATGTATGTATTATATAGAGACAAGGTCTCACAATGTTGCCCAGTCTGGTCTCGAACTCCTGGGTTCATGCAATCCACCTGCCTCAGCCTCCCAGAGTGAACTACCATGCCTAGCCTTAATGGATCATTCTTGATCTCTGTCCTAGAAGAAGCTGGATTTCCTGTGAGGTCCCGGAAGCCAGGGAAGGAATTTTTCTGTCCCTGTGATGCCATTGCATGCTATTATCTATAACAAAACTAATAAAACTCATCCAAGAAAGGAATTTGTTCATCCCTGGGCTCAAGCCTGGCTGCATCCTGTACCTACGGTTCATCTTGAACTGTAGGGAGATGGTCATGCACAGTTTATTTAGGGACCTTCAGTCCCCATCACTTCCTCCCACTGCTTTCCTGGAGACAATGCATGGTATTGAGATGTAGCATGAGGATTTGGTCCTAGACAAAATTTGTCACCTACAGGCCTTGGGCAAAACAGCTTCAATTTCCTCAATAGTTAAATGGATTTATGTCTGTCTTACAAAGTTGTCAAGATTAAATGATAAAAAAGAATAGAAAGCATCTCATAGAGGTCCTGGAACCTAGTAGGCACTCAATAAATTGTATGATAATTATTGTTCACTGCTAGTTAGAAATTCCAGGATTTAGATTTTTCATATCTTCTTCAACTCAAAAATGTGAGCTGGGTTCTAAACCAGAAGAGTCACAGATTGTGCTATAGGAGTTGAGCAACAAGGCCAAAATAAATCATATAGTTAGATTTATTTTTCAAAAGCACATAGACTTCCATCTTTTTATTTAAATTCCTCATTTTCATTTTTTCCATTGTTCTATCTTGCCTATTCTACCTCCCATACTTCCTCAGTCAATCTATGGGAGTATTTCCATTATTACTATTTAAGAACTATATATTTTTGTTAGAATGAACTTATATAAAGTAGTCTACCACACAGCATGTTTCTATTATAATTACACACCCAACTCCAGACTATACAAAAAATGTAATGTAATCTTTGTAAACTAATAAACAACCCTCCCCAAAGCTAAACTTTCAGATGTCAACAGGTTCCATTGGTGTCATTCTGTTTGAAAAGGTTACATTCCTGCTTTTTTGTTAGGGTTCTGTTCTTTATAGAAAAACTGAGCCAAAGTCAGTAACCAGATAGTGCCCATCCCAGCAGTTTTGGAGCCAGACTTTCTTCCTGACTGCTTCCAGCAGGCTGACGGCCTTCCGACCTCCCATGCCAGATTTGAGTATGACTAGCTGACTGCAAAAGTGCCGGTGACCAGCTCCATCCGGGTTCAGGGTACCCCAAAGGTGGAGATGGCGTCGGCAATTGGGGGGAAGAAGAGAGAGAGAGAGAGAGAGAGAGAGAGAGAGAGAGAGAGAGAGAGAGAGAAAGAGACTGGACTCCGGTCTAGTGCAGAAGCGATGTGTATTATTGGGAATTACAACGGGTCTTTTATACACAAAGTCAGATGTGGGAGGGGCATCCCCCACCCACCAGAAACCTTAATCCATGAAAACTTAATCAATGATTGCCTTTAAACCCTTTTCGTATGATAATCTTAAAATCTCATAACAAAGGATAACCTAATCTGTGACTAACATATTCTATAAACCTTTTTCATCCTAAGCTGATTGATTTATGCCAAGTTAAACAATTCTATAGAAGCTTAATATTTACTTTACAAACGAAAGTGGCTCATCCCAGAATGTTTGGAATGTGGCCCAGTCCAAAGTTCACAGTGGGCTACCTGCAAGTAACCCAGCCGCATTCTTTCAACAAAATGGCTGTCTTCTAAAACCATATTCTACAATTTATACCTTCAATAAATCCTAAGATCATGACCCAGAAGCCTGTGACCAATACTAAGGCTCTTAAATGTGACATGAGTTTGAATTATAAGTTGTGTGAAAGTCAAAACTGCAGTTTGCAGAAGAATGGGAGCGATGAGCTTCTAAAGTTAGCCTGTGTTTGTCCCGGTCTCAGAGTTTTTATGTTTTGAGCTCACAGGAGCTTAATCTGGTTAGTGCTGAGTAGAAAGGGGGAGGAAATGGGGTCAATAGCTCCTGAATGCATCCTAGTCGTCTCGGGGTCAACAGCCCTTCCTGATCCTTAACGCTCAGTGGGCCTCCAGCTCCCAACACAAAAGCCCAAAGATAAGCTCTCTTGGAAAAACTCCTTTGGGAATGGTAAGTATGCTTCCTGTAGCTTGAAGTTTGGGCTGGCACATTGTTGTTGAGTGAGAGTCAGGCACTTGGAAAACCATATATTGTCCCACTCGGGTCACCCGTAACAGTCTATGGGGAGACCACTGGCCTCTTTCTGGTAGCAGCCTTTCTGTACCTCTAAGCTATGTCTGGAAAGTGATGTCCTGGGCCAGGCACGGAGCCTGGAAGCCCTGGAATCTTGCACCTGCCAAGCTGGAGTATAGGAAGGTAGGGTCTGGGTCCAGAAGGCAGAGCCTGGCCTGCATGTACATGGTGTATGCCTCTCCTTCATGCCTCTCTCTCCCCCATTGTTTTGCAGGCAGTGAAGCTGATTTTAGCTCCTCGAGCAGCACCGGCAGCATCTCCGCCCCTGAGGTCCACATGTCCACTGCGGGAAGCAAGCGCTCTTCGTTTTCACGCAAGTAGGCCCAATCTCCCGCTCTGTCATTAGCACACTGCTCACAGGTGACTTACCTGTACCTTGGGTATTCCAAGAGCCATCCAGATTATTGTTTGTTCATATTTTATTATTATTCAGGAGCTGTTTTGTTTTATTTTTACAGTAATTTAAAGTTGGTCATTTTCCCTACCTTAGCCTGCAGTGGCCAGGCAGGTTGGTCTGTTTGTCCACCCATGGTTGTCTCTCCTCCAGCCCTTGATTCTCTGTCCACTCCCCATTCTCTCCTCTTTTCTTTCCCTCACTTTTCTATGACCATTTGGGTATGAAGCTAGTCATCTCCCCTCATGAATCTATTTCCTCTTAAATATAAATTCTCTGACTTCACCCTTTCTTTCCTATAGTTGGGCTTCCACTTTTTTTATTGGTAAAGGAAGCAGTTTTAACGCCCTGACCACTCCCAACATTTACCTGGGAAAGGAGTAAAGAAAGTGTCAAGTTCATTGGCATGTGTGGCCAGTCCTGCAAGAGGTGATAGAGCACTCTGGCTAGGTATGTGACCTCTGAAGCCTGGCTGCCTTGGCTCAAATACCAGTACCACCACCTACAGGCTATGTGGCCCCAAGCAAGTTGCTTGACTTCTCTATGCCTCAGTTTCCTTATCTTTAAAATAGAGGGTTTATTGTTAGAATTCAATGAGTAAGTACAGGTGAAGTGCTGGTTCAGCACTTGTAGCACAGCAAAGTTCAACAAATGTCTGCCATTAGTGTTGTTTGAACTGGGGGAATAGAGGACCGTGGGAAAATGGGAGCCACCATTAGTACTTAATGGGAGGGCTTGTAAGCTCCAGGAGTCTCTGCTTGCCTCCAGTGGCTTTTTCCTTCAGCAAACATTCACTGAACATTTACTCTGAGGAAATAAAACTCCATGAAAATTATATCCATTCTACCAGAGCAGGAAAGACAATAAATAGATACGTAAGGTAATTATTTTTTTTAAATATGCAGAGAAGGCCTGGTGTGATGGCTCACACCTGAAATCCCAGCACTTTAGGAGGCAGAAATGGGAGAATCGCTTGAGCCCAGGAGTTTGAAACCAGCCTGGGCAACATAGAAAGATCTTGTCTCTACATAAAAATTAAAAACCTAGCTGAGCATAGTAGTGTGTGCCTATAGTCTTAGCTACTCAGGAGGCTGAGGTGGGAGGATCTTTAGCCAAGAAGTTGGAGGTTGCTGTGAGCCATGATTGTGCCATTGCACTCTATCCTGGACAACAGAGTGAGACCCTGACCAAAAAAAAAGTATACAGAGAAAAGATATAGTAGTGGGATGTGTGGCCTAGTTTAGATTGGTCCCAGGAGACATCAGGGGTGAGGTGAGCTCTTGGCAGGAACTTGAAGGAAGCCATGGGGTGAGGCACAACACCTGGGGACCACCTGTCTGCAGACTATCTGCCACAGCGTCCACATTTGTAAAAAGGGCGTGGGACTATATGATTTTTTGAAGTCCCTTCCTTAAAAACCACTTAGTTTCTAAAAGCTTGTGTTTCCGGGACTCAGCACACACATATTTGCTATTTCTCTTGAGTGAGCAAAAGATTGGCCTGATATTTCTAAAGGAACCTAAGGCCCCCAGGGCACAGATGTATTATTAAAAATAAAGCAAATAAAGCTGGAACCAGATAAACCTGTAACAAAAGAGTGAAGTCCACAGTAAAACACACATACACACACACACACACACAATTGCTCTATCCCCAAACCTCCTCTATTTTTGCAATAAAGTGTCTTTGGAAATACAGGGCATAAATATAAACATCCTCTGTGTAAAGCAGACGTAGACCAGGCACAGTGGCTCACGCCTGTAATCCCAACACTTTGGGAAACTAAGGGGTATCACTTGAGCCCAGGAATTTGAGACCAGCTTAGGCAACATAGCAAGATCTCGTCTCTACACAAAATTTTTTTTTAAATTAGCCAGCCGTTGTGGCATGTGTCTGTAATCCCAGCTACTTGGAGGCTGAGGCTGGAGGCTTGCCTGAGCCCAGGAGGTCAGGGCTATGGTGAGCCATGATCATGCCACTGCACTCCAGTCTGGGTGACAGAGTGAGATCCTGACTCAAAAAAAAAAATCAGATGTGACTTGTTCTGAGCATAAGCCAATTTATCTAACACATTCAAGAAATTACCACATACCCATGGTAGGGTATCAAAACACACAGAAAGGCAAAAAACTAAAAATAAAAAGGCCTCTAGGAGAAGCCAACTTTATTAAAAATTTTAAAGGAATTTGTGTCAGTGGTTAAATTTCCAGGTCATGTCAATAATACAGTGTGACTTAGAGAAAATAGTCTGGAATTCATGGTTTCTTTAAGTGATCAAAAACTGATATACTAAGCATAAAATAGTTAAATGTAGGTATATGCAAGTGAGATATATTTCTACTAGAGTCTATGGTAGCAAAGCAGTAAGACTTCAAATGTTTAACAAGAATTCATAGATAGAAATTTGAAATGGGCAGTGTTCTACCTATTCTCACTTTTCAAATCTGACCAGGCACAGAGTGCCATCGGTAGATTTCAGTGAAGAAAAATTTCAGGCATTTCACATACACTTTGTGCTCTATAGGTTCGTGCTTAGAGGACACCTTCTCTAGATGGGCCAGTATCCATGCAAAACTCTGTAGTCACTTGTGATCCTTCCAACTGGCTGGTTCCTCCTGTGGTAAATGAATCTTCCCTGTGGAATCAGTTCCCTGGAGGAAGGCTAGAGAGGACATTTGGTGAAGGGATAGTGACACGAGGAGCAGGGAAAGTCAGCAAGAGCATTTTTTTTTTTTTGTTGGAGTCTCACTCGGTCACCCAGACTGGAGTGCAGTGGCCGCTCCCGGCCACCGCAACCTCTCCTGCTGGGCTCCGGCAATCCTTCCGCCTCAGCCTTCCGAGTAGCCGGAATTATAGGCATGCGCTACCATGCCCGGCTGATTTTTTGATTTACTGTAGAGACGAGGTCTCGCTGCCCAGGCAGATCTTGAACCCGTGGGCTCAGGCAGTCCACTCACCTCAACCTCCCAAAGGCGCGGGATTACAGGCTGAGCCACCGAGCCTGGCTAGCAAGAGCATTTTTGACAGGTTATTTTAGAAATAAACTTTAAAGGTTTACAAATTATCTCATCTAATAGAAGACTAACTCTGCTTACATTCCAAAGGAATGATCTTTCTTAAAGAAAAATGATAATCTGTTCAGAAGCAGAGAGAATTGAGAGGGGTAGAAAAAAACCAGCTTGGAAACCAGACAGGCCTGAGCTTGAGGTTGGCCTACATTGTCTATCAGGAGTATGACTCCAAGTCTCACTTTCCTGTTCTGGAAAATGGGGTAACAGTGGCATCTGCCTCACTGAGTTAAATGAGCTGATATACATGAGTGCTTGATATGGTGCCCAGAATTTAGTGAAAGGGTCAATAAATGATTGTTTTTGTCAATAGTAATGAAAGTAATATTAACAGATGTGCTGCAGCTGGTGGTGACCATAGTGATGGTGATTATATTAGTTTGATGGTGATTATATTAGTTTGTTATGGTTGCATAGCCAAGTCTGGATGACCTAAACAAGCTGTGTACTAGCACACAGCTCTAGAGACAGAAATTCCAAGATCAAGGTGTCTGCAGGGCTGGTTTCTTCTGAGGCCTCTCTCCTTGGCTTGTGGATGACTGTCTGCTCTCTATATCTTTCCATCTTCTTCCTTCTGTTCATGTTTGTTCAAATTCCCTTATAAGGGTATCAGTTAAATTGGATTAGGGCTCACCCCAACTGCCTCATTTTAATCTAGTCACTTCTTTAAAATGTCCTGTCATTCTGAGGTAATTCGAGTTACAGCTCAACATATGAATTGTGAGGGATGACATAATTCAGCCCTAGTACATGGTGATGATGATCACAGTCTTGATGATGGTGGTGATTATGATAATAGTAAAGGGCCATGGCAGGGGATTAGAAATTCACTTTGATCACTCATGAGGTTTCCTTCTTCACTTCTTTTCTCTTTGTTTTCAGTTACATATTCAGGTATGCAGAAGGGTGCAGTGTCAGCAGAGTTTTCTCTCCTTTTTGTGGACTGCATTCTTCTTGTTCAAGGGATTTGGGGTAGACTGAAAAAAGCAGCATTGAGTTTACCTGTTCACAACCACAATCAATGTGGAATCCCAGTTTCTTCTTTGAAAATTCCTTTATCTCATCTATGATGAGTTTGTACCTATGTTCACATTTGAACTACACTAAATGAAAGAAACAGAACTGATATTTGTAAGTTAGCTATTGCCAACAGGCTAATGATTTATTTTCTAAGCAAAGTTCATAAGGCATCTGGAACAGCACTAGGGTCATAGAAGTTCTTCAGCAAAGGTCAACTTGGAAGAGAATTTCCCAAGTCAAAATCAGGGATGTCTCTCTCCTAACTTGTAATAGTTAAACCACCATATTTCTCATAGTCGCATTAAGAAAAATAGTCAATCTTGTTGGTGCCAGACTTAGAAGTCAGGCATGGAAAAGAAAATCCAAGCCAGGACACATGTTCCTCTCAGCTACTCATAAGGTTCTTGCTATGCTGGGCTGCTGAGTTGGTTTGTCACAATGCCATCAGCCCATCTGTTCCATATAAAGTGTCCTCATGAAAAGAAGAGCGTTCATTTAGATGATTTCAAAAGGAAAGAACTTTTAACTTTAGGATTTGGTGATGCTTAATTTATGTGTGATCTGCTAGGTTGACATCTAGTTGAAATGACATTTGATTTGATTTGATTTTTGGGGGGGATTGGAGTCTCACTCCATTGCCCAGACTAGAGTGCAGTGGCACACTCACGGCTACTCCAACACTGACCTGCTGGGTTCAGACGATCCTTCTGCTTCAGCCTTCCAAGTAGCCAGAACTACAGGCGTGCACTACCATGCCCAGCTAATTTTTTTATTTATTGTAGAAATGAGACCTCGCCAAGTAGTCCAGGCTGTTTTTGAACCTGTGGCCTCAGGCAATCCCCTCACCTGGGCCTCCCAAAGTGCTGGCATTACAGGCTTGAGCCACCACACTCAGCCACATTTGATTTTAAATAAGTAATCATGGCTTGGAAGCCAAGAATACTCACACATTCACTCACGTTCCCATTTGCACACATCTCTCAGGGAGATGTATCAGTTGGATGCAGCCATAATGAAAATTGCAAAGGGGATTGTCATAAAGCAGTTCTACTGTTTGAAACATATCTTGTTCTTGTTTATTGTTTCGTAATGTTGTCAAGTAATGTTCCTGACACAGACCCGTTATCCATATACTAGGGGGTGTCAAATCTCTGGAAATAGATTAACAATGAAATTCGCAAAGGTTTATCCTGTAATAATGGCCTACAGTTGAGTTGTACTTAACAGCTTGTGGAATGCACTCACTTACACTCTTGATTTGACTTTCAGATCAGTCCCATGAGGAAGGCAGGAGAGGTATATGTCTGTGTGTGTTTGTGTATGGCTGTATCTCCATCTCCATATGTTAGATGATTTCCTTGCCTAGGTGCCAAGAGAGTGGCAGTGCTAGGGATTCTAATCTGGTTTCTGTATCCAGCAGTCATTTAGGGATCACTTACTGTGTTGAGAAAGTAGTGGGAATATCAATGACAGGCTGTGTTCCTGCCCTGAAGGATGCCACTGTCTAGCAAGAAGGACAAGCAAGTATACAGTCATGACTCCATGTGGTATGTCCCATGATGGAAGTCAACACAAAGTTTTAGGGAACAACAAGGATTGGTACCTACACTGGCCAAAGGAGGGAAGAATTCAGAGAAGGCTTCATGGAGTAGGTTCCCATCAATCTCAAAGTAAAAGGTATCCTGGTATTCAGGGTCTGAGGGACGGCAGCAGAAGGACATTCTAGGCAGAGGAAATTCTAAGTTCAGAAACCTAAAGATGGCTGAAAGCATGGATCACCAGGACACCATAAGTTGTTTGGAATCCTGGAGTACAGAGGAAGAAAGGAAAAGAAGGAGGATGGGTTTGGATAGGGTGGTAGAATTGAACCTTAAGTGAGCCATCTTAAGGCGGCTGGCCTTTCTTCTGGAGGCAATGGGGAGCTACTGAGCTTTGCAGAGGGCAGTGCTATTCAAATTCCATTTTGAGAGGTCACTCCAGCAAAAGGCAGGGGAGACCAAGAGGGAACTGTGACATTTCAGTAGTTAAACGATTAAGCTTGTGTTAAGCTCTTTTTTTGTTTGTTTTTAGATTAGAAAATAAAGTTTATTTAGAAAGTAAATTAGAGAGAGAAAGAGGAGATTCACCTCCCCAAGATAGGAGATGGGGTCAAAGCCAGGAAACATGGGTGTTAAGTTCTTAGGGACAAAATGTGAAGGTCTTGGGGACCCTACTGCTGTTCCAGATGCCTTATGAACATTGTTTAGGAAATGAATCATTAGCCTGTTGGCAGTAGCTAACTTTTAAAAATAAGTGGACAAAATGAAAGGCTTGATACATTTATGTGGCTGTTTATCTGCCCTGTTTTTTCCTCCTCTTTCATGGGTAACCCCTGCACCCTCTTCCTCCAAATGAACCACCTTCATTTTCTTACCCCAACGTGACCCTAACCCAGATATTTCTAAACCAAAACAGGTGTCCTGGAACAAAAACCACCTCTTCAAAGCAGTCTCCAAAAGAAACCTATGCCAGATCAATATTTCACACTGTGTATGCTCTTAGCAGGCAGTTGGGTTTAATCCAAAACAAGCTTCAAGCTCAGAAACTATTTGAAAGAACAACAGAGGGATAGGTTGCCTATGCCAGTGCTACAAGGAGAGAAAATACCAGGCAGGTGGGAAGAAGGCTGCTCACAAGGGCAGTGTACATTAATAATTATAGCACCCCTTTGCAAATAGGATGTGCTTAGTAGTAACTAACTTCAGGAGGGAGTCAGTCCTGCGCACATGGACATCTCCAATCCCAAGGACTTTAACATCTTTTCTGCTTTTCTCCCAGTCGAGGTCCTCACGGACGGAGCAATGGTGGTTCATCACACAAGTCTGGCAGCAACCCCCCATCCCCACGGGAGAAGGACCTTCTGTCCATGCTTTGCAGGAATCAGCTGAGCCCCGTGAACATTCATCCCAGCTACGCACCTTCTTCCCCAAGCAGCAGCAACTCAGGCTCCTACAAAGGCAGTGACTGCAGTCCAGTCATGAGGTGAGTCCTACTCAGCCCCCTGACCTATGCGTCTTAGTCTGTCCTGGCTGGTAAACTTTTCTTTAAGAAAAAAAAAAGAAGAAGAAGCCGGGCTCGGTGGCTCAGCCTGTAATCCCGTGCCTTTGGGAGGCTAAGGTGAGTGGATTGCCTGAGCCCGTGGGTTTGAGACCTGCCTGGGCAGGCGAGACCTCATCTCTACAATAAATCAAAAGTTAGCTGGGCATGGTAGCGCACGCCTGTAGTTCCAGCTACTTGGAAGGATTGCCTGAGCCTAGCAAGCTGATGCTGTGGTAGCCATGGGTGCACTGCACTCTAGCCTGGGTGACAGAGTGAGATTCCAACTCACATAAAAAAAAAAAAAGAAGAAGAGTTATACAACTCTTGGTCCCCTGTCTTGTTCTTCACCAAGACACTTTTCTTTCCTTTCCCACACTCTATGGATTCTTCAAGGGCTTTTGTAGAAAGAGTCCAAGCCACATTCTTTATCTTCTTTTTCTCTTTCTCTCTCTCCTTTTTTTTTTTTCTGGTCAGAGTCTCACTCTGTCACCCAGGCTAGAGTGCAGTGCACCCATGGCTACCACAGCATCAGCTTGCTAGGCTCAGGCAATCCTTCCAAGTAGCTGGAACTAGAGGTCCACACCACCACATCCAGCTAATGTTTTGATTTACTGTAGAGACGAGTTGCCCAGGCTGGTCTCGAACTTCTGAGCTCAGACAATCCTCTTGCCTCCATCTCCAAAAATGCTGGGATTACAGGCATGAGCCACTGTGCCTGGCCCCAAGTCACATTTTCTAATAAGGTGCAGCAGCCCAAGTAGATGGGGAGAGAAACGGCACTGTGGTGGTAGGAGGGACTTAGTCATTTGCTGCAGAACGGGGGAGAATCGTACGTGTGTTCAGTTATCCCTTCCATCACCAAGTGTTGTTGAGGACCAGGTAACTGTGTTAAGCCCTGAGAATAGAGCAGTGAATGGCAGAGATGGCCCTTGTGCTTCCTGCTCAGAGAAGAAAGATGTGAGCCATCTAATGACAGAAAGAAATTCAGAAGATTCCACAAAGCGCCTATTGCTATAGGAGTGCATGACAGGTGGGATCAGGGAGGCCTCTCTGAGAAAGAGACACTGAAGAGAGATCTGAAGGGCATGAAAGGAGTTAATTAGCATGGGGTGGAGGAGTGTGGAGCAGAAAGAAGGAACTGTACTTCCATGGGGGCCACAGCAGGAGGATGGAGCCTGGGAATTGGACACAGGCCATCTTGGAGGGAGGCAGGCACTGGGGAGCCAGCAGCACAGGGGCTGGGATAGGACCCAGAGTCCGGGAAGGCGCTGGCATCTGTCCTCCCTCAGTCTTCCTTCTGGGCGTCCCTGCGGCTGTTTCAGTCAGCTGTCTTACAGCGGGGATGCCCAGCTCCCAGCCAGCCCGAGAGGGGCCAAGAATCCAGTGAGGGCTGTTTGTGGAACATTCAGCACCTCTCATGAAACACACTGGTGAGAATGGAGTAGAAGGCAGAGCTTGTTCCCTCAGAAGAAGGAACTTTCCATTTCCACCAAATCAGCACACTCTCACCAGGGGTTGATTTCAGAACAATTCAAACTCAGCTCCTAACAATCAGGGTCTTTAGGCAGCAGCACACTGTGTGGAAAGTCGGGTCATCTCACTCCCTGCCTCCCCTCCCGCCTCCCCACCCATTGTCCTATGTGTCACTCTGAACTGACAGCTCAGGCCAGTGGACAATTGTGCATTATTTTGTCTGAGAACATTCCTAAGCCATAGAAATTCCTCCCTCTCCACTGTCCCCACCCCCTTCACAAACACACACACCTCTCTCAATCTTTCAAATAATGCACATTCCTGAGATTGGCAGGTATATTAGGTATAAAGCCCGCCTTCTCAAGTGAGGTCACCCATTGTTGAAGTCTAAGACCCCAGCTCACAGCTGCCATTCCTCCTCAAGCTGTTAGCTGTGTGTCTTCGTCAGTTTGGGCAACTGTAACAAAGTACCCTCAACTTTAGTCTGAATCTTTCAAGTGCCATAGACTAATTACCACAGGCTTAAGTTCAAGATCAGGGTGCCAGCACGGTCTGTTTTGGAGAAGGCTTTCTCCTGGGATGCAGACTGCAGACTTCTTATGGCATCCTCACAGGGTGGAAAGAGAGAGCTAGAAAGCTCACTGGGGTTTCTTTCATAGGGTCATTCACTAATCCCACTTATGAGGACTCCACCCTCATGACTAATTTAACTCCCAGAGGCCTCACCTCCTAACACTACCACACTGGGAATTAGGATTTCAACATATGAATTTTGAGGGATTCATAACACTGTTACTTTTTTTTTTTTAGCACAGAAAAGGAAAAGGGGCAAAAAGTAACATTTCTTTATGGGTTTTTCCAGGCGTTCTGGAAGGTACCTGTCTTGTGGTGAAAACCATGGTGTCCGACCCCCAAACCCAGAGCAGTATTTGACTCCGCTGCAGCAGAAAGAAGTGACAGTGAGACACCTCAAGACCAAGCTGAAGGAATCTGAGCGCCGGCTTCATGAGAGGTGACTGCCTTCCTGGTACTCTGTGGCTTAGGACAGCTTCTTTTTCCATAAGATAAAACATGAGCACAAACTATAGAGCAATAGAAAAGAAAGAAAAATGATTGTATTCCATTTTTTGTCAAATTTTAAAAATCAGTTTCTGAAAAGAGTCATTTCAGTTTTCTGTGTGATATAGCTCTTTCAGGGGTTCAGGGTGCCCCATAGGTTAGAGGAGACCCTCTGTTTTGGGGGAGTGATGTACAGCTTTGATGTGAAGAGTTGGGTATATGCATGATTATTTTGAAATGGTAGAAACACTTGTAGGAACAATCTCATACTTCTAGCAGAGTGGGTCACACACAGTGGGCCAACTAAGCCCTGTTTATCTCTGTGCAAGAGGTGACATCTGTGCACATTGTGATTTCTGGAGGCTATTTCTGTGCTGAAGGAAGGAGTTCGTTATTCTTGGCTTAGTGTTAAGGTTAAAATAAAGCCCATGCTTAAGAGATCTTATCTTGGAGAAAAGACCTTTGACATTTTAAGGGCAGGCCAGTTTTTCTGCTTGATGGTTTTCTTTTCCTAGAACATTTTAGGACAGACCAGGGTAGTGTGAGCACAGGGTGAAAGTGGCATTTGCATTTTCTGGGAGCCTGGGATCTGATTCAGCACATAGTCACCTGATCAGCCTACACCTCCTGCTCTTCTGCCACAGGGATATAGAGAAGACCCAGGGCCATTGGTTGATAAAATCATGAGCAGATAAGGGGGCAGACTGTGAGGAGGAGGGGCATTTTTCATCTTCCAAGTTAATGGTCCCACACCTGCCTGAAGTAGACTTGAGACCCACGCTCACCTCTGGGGTGTCAGAGACCCTACTTTCTGGAAATGTCTTATTTATGATTTGAGGAATCACAGGAGGATGTAAGCACTCAAGGGAAGGAGGAATGAGAAAGCAGCAAAACTTGAGAATATATTCAAGCCTAAACTTAAAGAAACTATACTGACATCCCTTCAGGTAAAAGAGGGTCCTGGCTACCTGGTCTTCATATCTGTGGAGACTATACAGGCATATATTTACATTGACTCTGAAGAAAATATATGTAAGAAAGAATTTATTGACAAAGATGTTAAAATAGAGTCTTATGAAGGATTTAAAAAATAGGATAGATTTTACTCAGTGCAGAATAAATTCAGTATTATCCTAACCCGAGAAGAGATAGAATAAACAACTTTTCACAAAATCCTTGCAACATATGGCATTTTTTTGATTTTTAAAATGTTTAATTATCATTGGAACAATTTTTGCAAGGCTAAAACTTATCAGTCCATCTTCTGCCTTTGATAGTTAATTAAAAGTGAACTGGCATTTTTTTTTTACAATCTGTAGACATTATGAAAGGCTATACAACTCTAAAGTGTTCTAATAACAAGATCTTAATAAAACATTAAGTACTGAGTAGCTTTTAACATGCTTAGAGTATTGCCTGACACATAGTTAGTAGTCAAAAAAGACGTGATGGTAGCTATTTTGATTCTGACTCTGATTCCTATTATTACTTAGGCACTTTACAATTAAAGGAGGAAAGTTCTTGACTAATACTTGCCAAAGAAACAAATTTTCAAACTGATTTAATTCCTGCCCTTCAAGTGGAAGAACATGGGCTCTTGGTTGTGTGTTGGAATTGCTTGTTGCCTGGTTCAGAGTTGACATTTCTCTTTCTCTGCGCTTCTCTTGGCATTTCTAGGGAGACTGAAATCGTGGAGCTCAAGTCCCAGCTGGCCCGGATGCGAGAAGACTGGATTGAGGAGGAGTGCCACAGGGTGGAGGCCCAGTTGGCGCTCAAGGAAGCCCGGAAAGAGATTAAACAGCTCAAGCAGGTCATTGAAACCATGCGGAGCAGCTTGGCAGATAAAGATAAAGGCATTCAGAAATATTTTGTGGACATAAACATCCAAAACAAGAAGCTGGAGTCTCTGCTTCAGAGCATGGAGATGGCGCACAGTGGCTCTCTGAGGGATGAACTGTGCTTGGACTTCCCGTGTGATTCCCCAAAGAAGAACTTCCCCCTAAATCCCCCTCTTGGCAAGATGGCAGATGGGTTGTCTCTGGAGGAGCAGGTCATGGAGGAAGCTGCCGAGAGGGAGCTGCTAGCAGGAGACAGCACGGCCGTCAGCACTGATTTGCTGGATGAGATTCCCGCCACCATCACGGAATCTGGTGACCTGGAGCAGGAGCCTGCCAGCTCCGAGGCCGACGTCCTTGGGCTGCTCCCCCTGGTGGCGGGTCAGGAGGAGGGCAGCATGGTGGTGGAGCGAGCCGTGCAGACCGACGTGGTGCCCTACAGCCCTGCCATCTCGGAGCTCATCCAGAATGTCCTGAAGCTCCGGGAGCCCTGTCTCTCCACCTCAGCCTCCCCTGACGAGTCTGAGCCTGACTCCATGGAGAGCTGCCCAGAGTCCCCCTCTGCCTTAGTGGTTGATTTAACACCAAAAAATCCAAACTCGGCCATCCTCTTGTCTCCCGTGGAGACCCCATGCACCAAGGTGGGTATGGGTGCCCATGCAAACCACCTCATGGGGGAGCTGGATTTTGCGGCCTACACGGAAGAAAGGTTGGATGGTGTCATCCCTCTAGCTCGCGGGGGCGCCATGCGGCAGTATTGGAGCAGCAGTTTCCTGGTGGATCTCCTGGCGGTGGCTGCCCCAGTGGTCCCCACGGTCCTGTGGGCCTTCAGTACTCAGAGAAGGGGAACAGATCCCGTCTATAACATCGGGGCCTTGCTGCGGGGCTGCTGTGTGGTGGCCTTGCATTCGCTCCGCCGCACTGCCTTCCAGATCAAGACCTAAGGAGGACTTATTGTTCCCATGTGCCAGTGTGTCCCGTGTGGGTTGTGCCAGGTAGAGAAACAGGAGGTCGGCCTCTGGCGGTCTCTGTTCTGTTGTTTTGCTCCTCGGTATTTAATTTGCACTATGTTTAGTTGAAGCCCTTTCACTGTTTAAAACCGGAGGTATCTTAAAGGCATGGAGACCTGGTTCCAGTGGATGTCCCACCCTGTGGTGTAGAAAGCATGCTCATGACCCTGCCGTGTCGTCCGAGGTGCCCGTTCTTATCCTAGTGGTTCAGGAAGAGAAAATGCAGAGTTTGCACTTTCAAGAGAACTCCTCTAAGGCTGGCATGTCTCTCCTCGCTTTGCTTCGTGCCGTTTTCCAATGTGTCATTGTTCTGGCATTCTGATGGTCTTGTGCATAGCAGGGGACTGTAACCAAAAATAAACATGTATTTGTGTCATTAGTTTGAAGAAGTCTCGAATAGCTTTTTAGTGTCTTACTTGGGGTTGATAAGGTTTGAGTGTTTGCGATTTTTTACTACATGTAGCTCCAAAGTCTTAAATGGCTGGCTAATTTGTTCTTAAACTGTTAATGGATGAAACTCTCTGTAAGTTTACAATGTACTAATTTATTTTTTGCTTATTATATATAGCGTTTTATTGGAAATTGTTTGTAACCACACACTTCAGCATGATGAAAATAAAGATTAGTGTTTCCATTTAAATAAATGTTTTATCCTCCTATAAAAGAATGATGTCTGTGCATTTCTATGTATGATAAGAAAGATTAAATGAATTGCAGATCTTCCATTTTTATCAATAGGAGTCTGTAAAAACAGGAAAAAAAGTGAGAAGGGGAGCAGGACCCAGTGATTTACACCTGTAATCCCAACACTTAGGGAGGCAAGAAGTAAGAGGATCTCTTAAACCCAGGAGTTCAAGACTAGCTTGGACAACATACCAAGACTTCATCCCCACCAAAAAGAAAAAAAAAAAAATTACCTGGACATTGCGTTGCGTGCCTCAGGAGGTTGAAGTGAATAATCACCCAAGCCCAGGGAGTTGAGGCTTCAGTGAGCTGTGTTCATGTCACTACACTCCAGCCTGGGCATCAGAGTGAGACCCAACTCAAAAATAAGAAATGGGAATGAGGGAATAATTGTTTAGAAAAAAAAGGTGAAGATTTTTTACTCTGACTCAAAAAGCACCATTTCTGGATAAAAATAGCTTTGATTATGTTTTTAAACTGCTCATACACTTGTTTGTCCACATATTTATTCCGTAAGCATACCTTTAGTGTTCTCAGGAAAACTGGGTTCATTTTTTTTTAAGCATGCTGAGTGTACAGGAGAGGGAGAGGGATATGGTAGCACCATATGTCCTCCTTCTCTTGGAATGATAGAGTAGGGGTAAGAGGCTGGAAATGGATGAGATGGTATTTGATCAATATTCATGTATCCCTCACACCAACCTTCTGAGGTGGATATTCTGTTTTACAGATAAGGGAGCTAAGTCCCAAACAGGACTCTCAAAGCCCATCTCCAAAAGCCAGGATTTCAAGTGTCTATAAAGCAAATGCCTTTTCTACTTTACCCACACAAAGGAAAGAGACTTGGAGAATATCCCAAGTTCTCATCCAGGATCTCTTCTCTAGCACTTATCACCTTTAAACATGCCATTTTTTGACTTACTATGTCTTGGTTTCCACTGAAATCTTAGCTCTATGAGAGCAGGGATCTGTGTCCTGTTTTTTTCATAGATGTATATCAAGAATTTAGAAGGATACATGACCATTCTAAAAAATAGCTGTTGAATGAATTAATTCATCCAGCAAATGCTTGTCGGGTACTGAGATACTAGCTAGGCACTTCTGTGTCTGTGAAAGACTTATGCCAACAAATAAGATAGTTTCAGATAGTGGTAAGTGCTCCGAAGGAAATAAGCAAGAGGTTGTGACTAAGCATGACCAGTGAAGGTAAGGAGCATAGCTCTGAAGAAATAACATTGGTGCTAATGGATGAAGAGTCAGTCAATGTGAAGATATGGGGTAAAATATTGCAAAAAAAAGCAAATGCAAAGGCCTTGAGGCAGAAAAGGACTCAGCATGTGACAGGAACATCCAGGAGGCCTGTGTGGCCTCAGCTGAGTGAGGTGGAAGGGGAAGGCTCCTGGAGAGGAAGAAAGGAAACTGGTTCATACAGGGCCATGTAAACCGTAGTGGGGGTTGAACTTACTCCAAAAGAAAATATTAATGAACTTTAAACTGTTTATTTCTTTTCTTTTCTTTTTTTTTAACTCTGTGGCTGCTAAGTGCAGAGTACACTGTAGGAAGGCAAGAGTGAACACAGGGACACCACGTAGGAGTTTATTATAATGTCTAGATGAGAGACTGACAATTTGCAGGTAGAAGTAGATACAGAGATTAAGTGGTTAAATATATAACCTGAAGATGGAACTGATGTGATATGCTGATGGTTTAGATGTGGAGTATGTTGTAAGGAAAAGAGAAGAATTAAGGATGACTTGAGTCTTTGGCTTGAGTAACTGTAAATTAATGGCAAAGTCATTTGCTGAGAATAGGAAGAGTTCAAGAGAAACACATTTGGGGAAATTGAATTGAGGTACCTAGTAAGACATCTATGTGAAGATGTTAAGAGTAACTGCATAGGCCGAGCTATATGGTTCAGCCTGTAATCCCAGCACTTTGGGAGGCCGAGGTGAGTGGATTGCCTGAGACCACAGGTTCGAGACCTGCCTGGGCAACTTGGCAAGACCCCATGCACCAAGGTGGGTATGGGTGCCTATGCAAACCACCTCATGGGGGAGCTGGGTTTTGCAATAAATCAAAAACTAGCCGGGCGTGGTAGCGCACGTCTATAATTCCAGCTACTTGGAAGGCTAAGGTGGAAGGATCGCCAGAGTCCAGCAGGTCGAGGCTGCGGTGGTGGTCTGGGCGATGGAGTGAGACTCAAACTCAAAAAAAGAAAAGAGTAACTGCATAAATGGATGTGAAAATCAAGGGAGCTGTCAGGGCTAGAGTTCTAAAATAAAACTGGGTTCTTCAACATTTGCATAGTATTTAAAACCATGGGAACAGATGATGTCATCCAAGAAGAGTGTAAAGAAAAAAATAACAAGCTGAGTCCTGTGGTACTTTCACGTTTAGATAGAGGTAGAGGATGAAGAAGCAACAAAACAAAGAAGTGGCAGTCTGAAAGGTAAGAGGACAACTAGGTGAGTGTACTGTTATGAAAACAAAAAGAAAAGAGGAGCCATCAACTGTGCTGAAATTCTAAGAGACTGAGTAACGTGAGCACAGTTACATACCCACTGGCTTTGACAACAAGGTCTTAGTGATCTTGTCAAGATCAATTTCTGTGGAGAAATGGGGATGGAAGCCCAGTTGAAGCAGACTGAAGAAGGAATGGGAGAGAGAAAGAGATAAATATGTGCAGCTAATATTTGTTGTTGTTTTACTAAGTTTTACTGTGAAGGAGAGTAGGAAAATGGGTGGTAGTTAATAGAAGATATGAGGTCAAAGGTTTATTTTTCAAAATTGAGTGAAGATAGAACATGTTTATATGCTTTTGTAATTGAACCAATGAAGAGAAAGGAACCGATGACACAGGAAAGGGATAATTGAAGCAAGGAAGCCCTTGAGAAGATGACAAGGGATGGGACTCAGGACACAAGGATCCTTGAGTGGAGAGAGGTAGTTTGTCTCTGATAGGACATTTCTATAGGAATACACACGTGGCTCAGGCACACACATTTGTACTTACTCATATCGCAGCTCTAATTAGCAGTAGAGGGATCTGACTGAAATGGAGGGCAAACTATTTCTGGAGGTGAATAATTGGAAGTGCCCCAGAATAATGAGCCATGCTAACACAGTTCCCTTCCTATAGTCCAACCCAGACCAACACCTAGATATTGGTATCTTCCTTAAAGCTCCTCCTCGTGTTTATTTTAAGTCATTTCTAAAAGTAGTTTTACTTCAAAAAAAAATTATAAGCTTATTTTTGGTTTCTGCTTAACCACACAAACTCAACACTGTTCTCCATCAATTCAAGATGGATGGAAAGGATGGTCTCTGGTTAAAAAGAATTCACCATGAACAACAATTATTTATGTTGATTATCAAATTGGAGGCAGCTGATCACCAATAGCAATTGTTTTGTTGTATTAATGTCCTGTCTCCTTCTCTGCATAAACCAAAAGATTCAAACAAAGTGACCCATTTGAGACCCTCACACTGTAAATCCTATCCACACTGGTACGAATTTGCACAGAGGTAAAACGAGATTTCAGAGCAGGATTCTTTTTTCTCCTTCAACCTTCTTCCCTCTCATCCTCCCCCTCCTCCTTCTCAGGGTTTCAGCTTGTATAATCTGTGGAAAATTACTGCTTTTATTCAAAACAAAGTCTTTCACAAATGAGTCCCTTGGAGTAAATAAAAGATGGAACACGCTTGCCTTTCGGAAGCCTAAGGCGTTGGCTGGTTTTGCGGACAGGATGGTCTGGTCCCATGGAAACGAGTGCCTCAAAGTTGCTTTCAGTAATCTGGGTGACTGTAATGTACAAACAGGCAGGAAAATGGAAAAAAAGAACAATTCCACTCTACTGAACAAACAAATTGCTGTCCCATCAAAGCAAATGTTAAACATTTCCTAGAGTTATGTGTGCAAACATTCCAATTTATAAGAAAAGATTTTTCCCAAAGGGATATGCTGACCTTTCCAAGTCGAGCTGTTCAGAAAAGGGGGGGAGGGAAAATGCATCGCACTCAGATGCCAAGCGCTTCTGACATTTGTGGCAGAAGAAAAAGGAAGTCTGGGATTTGCATTTATCATTGCCCTGCATAAGTAGTGGTTGGATCTGATATGCTTTTCTCTTGAGGATTTTTCATTTTAAAAGGTTTGGGGTAGTTTCCCACTTCCATTCTGGGTCAGCAAGCACTTTTTAAAAAATTGATTTCTTCCCAACCTTGCCAGGCAAAATGTGCACAATAAGGCAGTCACCTAGGAAATTAAGAGTAACCATTTGCAACACTCAAATCTTAAAAGAATGTCAGTGAACTCCCAATTGTCCTGAACAGAACAATCAGAAAGTCCAAATAGAATAAAACAGGTTTACATTGGATAATTACTTTTAAACCACAGGAAGACAAGTTCTGCTGTGACCACTAATTTTTCCCACAATCGTAATGGTTGTTATAACTAATGATTATAACAGTAATTCCAAATAATTTTAAGTGCTATTTAGTTTAACTCAAAAGACTGGAATATTTTAGTAGCATTGAAGTTTGTTAAAAGGTGTCCCTCTTTAAAAGGTATTTTAAACATAAAAAAACCCAATATAGAAAATACACACCAGTGACATTTCTGGACAGACACCAGGCTGAATGGCCAGCCATTTGCTTCCCCCTTGCTCCCTGCAGTGGTCCTGGTATCACCTCTGAGAACAGCTTGCAAATCATTTCACCATACACCAGGTTCTTTGAAAATTGCCAGCTCATGTGAGACCTCATGTATTAAAACTGTTGGTTCATTGGAATAGTTCTCTGGCTAATGCTGAAGATTTAAGCCTCTGTTGCCCTTAACAAAGGAATGCTGCATGGAATTGTTTTCTAAACTTTTCTCACAAAATGTTGTTTGCCAGTGTTCTTCTGGTTTAACTGTGAAGAGGACTCACTAGCTCCCCCTCTTAGTACAGAAACCACATACGTGTCTGGGACTGTCAAAATGTTAAATGACAATGTAAAACCAATAAGCTGGACTCCCCTTGAGACTACTAAAGGTAGGCATTATGGCTGCACTAATTTGATGGTACAAGAAGAAACTTCTTCTACTTCTTTGCAATCAGAATAGCTCACTGTGTTTGAATTGGTTTGCCAGTTCCCACTCCTACAGTAAACAATAGGTGCTGGCATTTTAAAGTGAGCTTTAGATAGCCAGGCTCGGGGGCTCAGCCTGTAATCCCGTGCTTTGGGAGGCTGAGGTGAGTGAATTGCCTGAGCCCAGGGGTTCGAGACCTGCCTGGGCAACTTGGTGAGACCTCATCTCTACAATAAATCAAAAATTAGCCTGGCAAAACAGCATTGGCAAACTGCAGGCGTGGTAGCGCACGCCTGCAGTTCTAGCTACTTGGAAGGCTGAGGCAGAAGGATCACTGGAGCCCAGCAGGTCGAGGCTGCAGTAGCCGGGAGTGGCCACTGCACTCCAGTCTGGGTGACAGAGTGAGACTCCAACTCAAAAATAATAATAATAATAATAATAATAATAAAGCAACCTATAGTTCTTCTGAACCAGCACATTATATCTGGCTTGTTGGTTGTTTAGAGAACATGAAAAATGAAAACAGTCTTAGTAATTTTCACATCTCCTGCTGGAAACAGTACATGGACAATGATCACCCATGCACTATCTTACCCTATAAGGGTTCCTTCTAATCAAGACAGATTAGGCAATTATGAGGTTCAGATGCACTGTAAAACCTCAGAAAGCAATACAAGCACTTGTATTTTCGTGTGCTTTAAACTTAAATGTCATGAGTTAAATATATCTATATCCTCATGCACATCTTACTTCACTTCACTTAGCACTGCAATAAAATGATGAGTTTATTTCAGAGGTCAACATATCTAATGATGGCGATATTTTTCTCCATAAAAGCAGTAAGCACTGCTTTTATTCAGGAACAATCAATAGGTTTGGAAGTGGCATTGCTGATAAGAATTCAAATCCAGATTTGAATATTTTAACAAATAAATCTAACTATGGGCAAGTTCTTACAGTAAGCCAAAATTGACCTAAGAATAAGTCAACATATAACTGATTCAGATTATGTCCTTTGAATTTTCTGTACAAGGAGATACTTTGTTTTTTTTTTTTCCTGTGCCATTCAATTTCTCAAACAAATCCTAGACACTCGTTAATAACCTAACAAGGCAAGGTAGAAACAGTTTGTAGCAGGAAGGTATCCAGGTACAATATTGGTCCGCACGTGTGTGAAACCTGTAGCCTTGACCTCATTAAGAATTATGACCCAATCAAGTGAGCTAATTGGCCTATTTTGGCAAATGTGTGAATATGTCACATTTCATTTTGCCTTGATTACAATAGCTGACCCAAATAAACTGCAAATACATAATTATTTGGCATTGACATTCAGCAAGTTATGCAAAATAAAAACCAAGCAAATTTTCTTCATAAGTTTTTAGAAAACAAAAATTGTTTTATCTACTATAATTTGCAACACTATCTTCATTTGGTTACAAACTAGAGAGGAACTTCTAAAGGCTAACTTTTTGGCAAGCTGTGGTCTCAAGTTACAAGAGGCCTCAGAAATCATAGTCCACCTAGAATGTTGATTAACCACAATACAACCTGCTCTCAAAACATCCTATTTCCCATTTCATTAATCAAGCACAGAACTGACTTTATAAGCTTTAGTTTTCTGAAATGTGAAATGGGGGTAATATCTACTCACAGGATTGATAGGAGACATTGATATAATTAGTCAAGGGCAGAGAGTGCTGAGCACATAATAAATGTTATTTCTTACTAAATTGACAGGTCATTTTAAGGTGTATAAAATTTTGAATCATCAGTCAACTTCTACTTTCTGCAGGGAAGGGGCTGCCAATACCACTGCATGGCAAGATGTGGGACGTTCATAACCACTAGTATTTGTTGAGTGCTTATGCGAACACTTACAGTCTCAATTCCAACCACCACTATTTCCATTTTAAAAGACTTGCATACTCAGGCAATTTGTTTAATGCTGTATCATCTCTATAGTAGCTGAGAACTCTGAGGAGCTCTTAAAGTTGGTGTGATCTATCTGTATGTAAGGAAAGGACCTGAAGAAATAGCCATGAACGTCCCCTGAAAGGCCAAGACTACCATGGATTGGCCACAGATTTTGAATTTCCTCTGCAAAAGCTTCTACTGGTGAATTAGCTGTGCCAGCAACAGGTATGCAAGAGTTGAAAAAAATAAATCTGTTGTATAAGGGTGAAAGGCAGGGAGTGGTTTCCTAGAATGGAGTGTCTCTCTCCAGTTCTAGAAGATTGAAGGCTTCTGGTGAAAGGCATCTTACTAGTTCTCAGAGCTTACTCTGGTTCCTGAGCATGCCCAACAGTCATGGCTAAGGGGCACCAAAGGGAAAAAGTAGGAAGCAAAGTAAAAACAAAAACGGTTGAGTACAAAAGGAATCCCTGGCTATTGTTGTAACCTTGGAACACCTTTGGTTACATTAAAGCAAAAGAAACTAAACAAAGAAAAAGGCATCTCTTTATCAGAGCAATTTAAAAAAACCATGCAAATGGCAAAAACAAGTTTAAGTTATTAGCTACTAAAAATATACTCTTCATGAACCTACCATTTTCTTCTGCCTTCCAATTTACCTGAGAGGGTAGAAGCTCCTTCTCTGGAACATTCTGTAGGCCCTCACCTACTCCTAACTTCCCAGCTTGATTTCAGCCAGAACCACTCAACTTGCAACCATTGTGTTTACACACCTAATGAAAGATTTCCCTTGAAGAAGAGGCTAAAGAATGAAAATCACTGTTGTAGATTATTCCAAATCTGAACTCTACATAGAATCAAACAAGATGCATATGTTAGCTCTAACTGGCCAAATTCCTCCTTTTAGTAAATACTCTATCATTGACAAAATTCAGGCTTTTTGGAACATTGGCTATGGTTAGGTTCACATTATAATGGTAGCTTGAAGAGTGGTGCTGGAAGCTCAATCCAGATGATGGTTGCAATTGCTACCTTCTTACCAACTATCAATCCTCATCTAGGTCCTGTTCAGAGGTGAGTGCATGTCAATACTGAGAAATTCAAATACAGAATTTTACATTTTCAGTTCTAAAATGTCAACTCAATTAAATATGCCACCAAAAAAAAAAAAAAAAAAGCCAAGATAGGTTATTCCTAGCTAAAGCTTAGTAAGAGGAAATGGCTGGAAACCATAAAATGTCTCCATAAAAAACACAAAATAAGTTTCACAAGTCTTTGATTACTTAATACATGAAATGCACAATTCAGGTAATGGGTAGAACTTCACTAATTCTAACTAAGTCTACCCATATTTTTTATTTACTTTGAAAGCTTCTAAAACTGACAATGCTTTATCAAAATTAAAATGAAAACAGAAACCATAAATTAAATAGCCAAAGGAGACAGTTTGCTACCATGAAGTGCTTACCATATGTATTTAACTCAGTGACCACGTCTGGGACCACAATATACCCAATTTAAATACAGGTTAACACAACCAAAGAGGTAAAATAAACTCCAGGATTGTTATCTATTCTTTCCATAAGAAAAAACCATTTCTTCCTAATTAATCATGCAAACTACAACTTCTAACAAGTCTTATTTCTAAATAATCAAAAACCAAAGAGCCAAACAAACAAAAAACCCTCACACACATGACAATGATGATCAAAGCAGACTTCAATACTTTCCAGGTATTTAGTACAAGTAACTACACTAAAGGTTATCCTTGATGAGCCCCAGATTTAGAGAAATCATGCACAGTCCCACAAAAACTAAAAATAAATGCAAAGGGGGAAAAGAATACATTTATTCTTAAAAACTGGAGTCTATTTCTATATAATTGAAAATTTATTAGCAGAAATGCTAATAAACATGATCACTGAAAATATAGTTTGGGGATATAACAAGCTCTCTACCAAAGTTAAATTTTAACTTATTCTATCGACACATTTAGTCTAGACATTTAGGCTAAGTGCTTAGAGAGCTCTCATTATATAGTTGATGGTTTTTCTGCGAAATAATACTCTACCTAAAAATATATGGCCTGTAGAGTGTCTATGCCATTTGAAAACCCCACAAAATGTTCATTCTGGACAGTAACTATTAAAAAAGTAAGAATCTTTTAAAATTCCCAAACCATAGAAAATCAGGCTGAATACATTCAATTATAGAATAAAGTAATGGTTTTTAGAACTGTCAATCTATGTGTTTTTCCTGTTATGAACACAGCATTTAACTATTTCTTTGAGACTATTTTGGAGCCAATCAACACCATAAATAAAAATTATTCCTATATTGGTTTATAATTTAATGAATTTGTAATGTTATCTTAGGTGAAAACATAGGTATCTGCATAATGTCAAATATGTAAAACTGATACAGAAATAACAGGAACTTTGAAATGTTAGACCCGATGGCTTTCTGCATTTATAAATTAGTGGCTCTTTAGGGGGAAAGAATAACCAAGGTACTTAATACCATAACATCTTATCCATAATGAAAGGGAAAAACAGTATACTAATGTCAGTTCTTAAAATTCACAAGTCATAATAAGGAAAAAACAAATTTGTCATTTTAGTTGATTTTCAATGTTTATACATGCAATATAAATTACAAATACGAATAACATTACATCATCTAAAAGAAAACAATGATGTACAAAATCTTTATGATAAATAAAATTATTGCATTTAATGTCATTTTTGTGAAAACCAAAATCATCAAATTCTTTAATGTTGTATCAAACAACAGTTCAAATTAGGAAAAATGTATGCCAACACCAGCTTTTGACAACAAAAAATAAGGAAGTGGAAGCCTTACAATTTGTCTAATTTAGGTCAGATAATCTTGAAAACAAAAGAATATTAAAATTATTTTATTATTACTCACAATGAAGGAATCATGACAGCAGAGTTCTTTTCCACCATAAAATTATTTACACCCATTTATTAAGCTAGAAACTCTAGCTTGAGAGGTACTGATATATTCCATTTGTGTTAATTTCTGTACAGCAAACAATTGTCTTAAATTTGGAGCATGGTGAAGAAAATATTGTCTCATAAGTCCTTTTCGTTTTTGAGTCTCAACCACTAAGAGTTCAGGGTATTTTGAGAGAATCCTGGTGTCCTGGATGGTGGGATGAATGCATTAAAATCAAGCAGTGTGTTGTATTCTGAAAATGCTCTTCAATCCATACAAATGTTGCTTTTGTGGTGGAGCTCAGACTTCTCCTACTGGCACTATAATACCTGAAGAACATTTGTTATGAAAGTTTTACACCAATTTTGCTTTGTTCCTTCTTCATTAGCCTCTGTGCTTCCTTTTCCATTTTCTTCCTCTGTTGTTCTGCTGCTCTTTTTTCTCTGTCTGCTATTTTCTGCTGCCTGAAAAGAAACACTCATATTTTTACTTTTAGAAAATACCACACAGGGAAAATGCACATAAATTCCAGGAGGCAATAACAGTGCCTTTTTACTACCATCAAATAAACAGTTAAAGTCTTGAATTTTCTCACTGCTTTGAACATTTCAAATATCTTAAAAAACAGTATTTCTATTAATCCTTGGAACATGACTTGCAAAATAGAAGCAGTATTATCTCTATTTTAAGTAAAATGAGATATAAAGTGTAAGTGACTTGCCCAAAGTCATAGGATTAAGTACAGGGATAAGAACTCACATCTTCTTCACCAGATTATTTCTACTAAATCACAGCTTCCATTGAACTCCCACTGAACTTTTTTTTCTGGGGATGCCATTAAGAAGATGTTATTGAAGATGTAATCTCTTGTTATTATACTAGTTAAAAACAGTCAGCTAAATGATGAACACAGTTCAGCAGAACACACCCCCAAAACAAAATGGAAACTTAAAAGACACCTTCCACCTAGGAGCTAGAAATCAATTTAAGGATTAACATTTGACCAGCTCTACTAAGGGGCAGAGTGATGGGTATTCACTAGTTACACTTTATGAAATGCATAACTCCTCTTTACGCCTTCCACAACTCCACTGATCCAGAATCACTAAACCGCTCCATCTGATTTGTGTGGGATGGAGAGGTAGGAGTGATGAAACGGGTGAAAGGAGAGAGAACATAGACTGGTCCTGGATCTGAAGTATTATGATGTGAGAAAAATCAATCAAGAAGCAGCGTGCAAAGTTGAGGGAGGAAGCTGTAGGCATGGGATAGACAACACTAGGTTGAACGCAGAAGAATCCAGAGTAGTACCTATATATGGAACTAAAGTGAGCAAAAGTGTATACAGTTCTCAATCACAGTTAAATATGGTTAAACATGGGAGAAGGCAGAAATGAAAGATCAAAATTCAAGAAAGTAAAAAAACTATCTTTGACAACAAGTTGATTTTTGCTATCAATTAAATTTTGAAAGAATAGTTTTTTAAAAAAAAACTATTTTCTACCACTCTGCTCACTTTCAAGAAAAACTGATAATCTGCACTAAAAAAGTCAAAATATCAGAAGCAGAAACGGAAATAGGAAAAAATTATTAAGGGCTGGCTAAGTTATAAACAAATAAGATGATCAAGCTTTGACCTGGTTATTAGCTGAAATAAAATACAAACTACCTTAAATCTGAAAAGCTCCAAAATCTGAAACTTTCTGAGTGCTTACATGATGCTCCAGGGAAGTGCTCACTGGAGCAGTTCAGATTTTAGATTTTCAGATTTGGGATGCTCAACTGGTAAGTATAATGCAAACATTCTAAAATTTAAAAAATTCTAAATTCTGAACACTTCTGGTTCAAGCATTTTCGATAGGAATACTCAGCCTGTTTCAAAATCTAATGTTCCTGGCACAAGAAATGACTTAGAAATCACTACAGACAGAAATATATTTTACTTGTACAGATTGATGCCTAGAATTACTAAAGTACCAAAATCTTTCTTAACATTACTGACCACAGTACTGGTAGTAGTTTAAGGTGGAAAAAGGCCGACAGTTAGAAGATATGGAATGTGGGCACATTTTTAAAATGCCCAGTGTCAAACTGGGCTCAGTCACATATGGTGAGGCTCCCTTTCCCTTTGGCTTACAGCTTGAAGCCTGACTACTACTAACTAATAGTCTCATTCTCCCAAGCTGCCATTAAATGTAAAAGATTATGTTTAAAAACTTTTCATATGTTTTGTTTAGGGAGCAAGAGGATGGGATGGAAAGAAGAAGGTTTTTGTACAGTTACTATTAAGATATTTGTGAACTTGTGGTATAAACTCTGCAGTGCTGTCCTTAGATTACCAGATTAAAATGGACAGCTCTTTCTTTTATCCTTGTGGTTAAAGACACTAATAATCACTAGAATCCACACAATGTTTCAAAATACTCAGTCTTCTGTATCTATAATTTACACAAAAATATAATTTTTAAGAGATAACATCTTTTTTGATGATAAACTCATAAGTGTTACAGGTAACAATTTTAAAAATGTTTTCTTTATAAAAGGTGAGTTAAACTGCCTAAAAAATAGTAAAAACTCTCAGAACTTCACTGACTGAATTTTAAAATGTGACCTTGCAAAAAAAGAAAAAGACTTGCTGAAAACAAGAAAAACAAGATTTTAAAAGTCAGTCATAACTTCCAGTTATTTAACTGCACCCTCTGCTGGTTGTTCAAGGTACAGTAATTACAATTTACTGACAAAGAAAGGAAAATACAAAATAAAATCAGTTGTTTTGTTAAGATAGTCTTATAAAGACTAATTCATTTTCTATTCCTATGGTAAAAACAATCTTAATTTTAAATAAAAAAGCTAGTATTTCTGTATTTTACCATATAACCTTAAAATGGGTAAGCAATTTAGATACATTCAAATATCTGAGTTTTTATAAGAGATCATAGTCACAAGCTATCTCTTGAGATAGATTTTCTCCTTACTCTTTGACCTAATGTAGTAGTAGCCAAAAAAAAAAAAAAAAAAAGTTTACTGCTCACATAAACAAACAAAAAAAGAACCAACAAAAATGAATTTTACAACTTCCCAAATAATATTTTTGCAGAACGGGTAGTTCATGACTTACATTATCTATCCTACAGGGCTTTCATGGATTTCATTTAAGATGTACAAACAAGAGTGCTACATGAGTTATTTTCATTTATATGTGCAGTGCTGGGCAGTATGATAAATGAAAAAATGAAAACATTATAATTTCTCACTTAGAATAATATATAGTGGTGGCTCACATTTCACAGGACAGAGCAAGATTGCAAATGGTGTATATATGTAAAAGATTTCATCTGTCATTAATAACATTATTCTTTTGTTCCTATAGTTCTTAAAAGTCTTGGTTTCTGTGAGGTTTAATCACATAAAAAGTATACACAGTCTGAAATACAAAAAAAGTCCATATTATCTAAGGGAAAATGATGAAAATATAATACTTAGCAGAATAAACTTTCTTAACTCTATACACAGAGGGCATATATCTGGCTCCTGTGTTCAGGTTGCATCATAAGTGGGGCTCACCCACCTCAAAACTTCTTCTGCTTGCCAGGCTGCATCTTCTTCTTCTTCCCACGCATTGGTGTTTTCTTGCCAGGTATCTAAGTCACCTAATTCCGACTACATGAAAAGCAAAACAAAATTTCAATAGTGAAGAGCCATTCTTTCTCAAGAGAGCAGTCATGAAGAGAATCTGAAAATGTAATTCAGAGTCTGTCACTCTCCTATGGCTTCTCAATGTCCTCACCCCACACTAATACAGCAAAAGCCATAGGACCCCTGGTTTGCCTAGAACTGAGGGCTTTACCGTGATGCACAACTTTCAGTGCTCAACAGTCCTGGGAAAGTTCAGCTTTCTTCCTATTTTATGTTTTATGATACTTTTTCTTTTTTTTTTGAGTTGGAGTCTCATTCTGTAGTCCAGATTGGAGTGCAGTGGCATGCTCCTGGCCACCGCAGCCTCGACTTGCTGGGCTCCGGTGATCCTTCCGCCTTAACCTTCCAAGTAGCTGGAACTACAGGCGCATGCTACCACGCTTGGCTAATTTTTTTGATTTGTTGTAGAGATGAGGTCTCGCCAAGTTGCCCAGGTGGGTCTCGAACCCGTGGGCTCAGGCAATTCACTCACCTGCCCTCCCAAAGCGTGGGATTACAGGCTGAGCCACCGAGCCCGGTGTCTATACTCTTTCATATGAAATTTTCTTCTTTGGCTGATTTTGTTTGAAATGGAAAATAACAGAACATTTCTTCTTTCTGTTTCTCTTTTCTTTTCAATAAGATGAAGGGTCAGGGATAGAGACAGAAAGGACTGACTGATCCCAGACTGAGTTAGAAATTTTTGACTGGATTAATCTGTGCTGAGGGGGATAATACAAGAAGCTAAAGTTTAAGCGTGTAATTTATAGATTTTTCCATAGCACTTACTGACTCAATCCTAGGCAAAATGACAAATCAGGTAAAATTTATCTTTTTTGGAATACTAGTTCCTTGTCACAGTTCCTTTTCCCTGACCCACATACCTGGTTTCATCCGGCTGGTCACGACCTTCACTATTCCCCAGACCAGACCCATAAAAGTTCAGTTTTTCTTCCAAGAACCAATAAACATGGTCATTCTGGAATGTTTAGTTAGGTATGGAAGTGATCATGTGTGAAAAACAACTGGCACCAATCTATGACTAGATTACATTGTTTTGATTATTTATCCCTAAAAATGAAATAAAATGTATTGAGTCTTCTTCCCCGACAATAAATGTAACCATTTTGTTAAAAGTTCTTAAAATATTTCTGATTATTGTTTAGTATAAATTTCTAAAAGCAGACGAACTAAGCTAATGCAAATGATCATTTTTAAAGCTACTAAAACAAACTACAGAGTACAAATGATTTGAAAAGTTGCACCAACTTATCCTCTTGATAGCAGTAGGCAGAAGACGGGTTTCCTTGTACCTTTGCCAATAATTGATAATGGCCTTCTCTCTCCCCCTCCCCCTTTTTCTTTCTTTCTTTCTTTTATTTCCCACCCCCAGAGTTGAGGTCTTGCTCTTTCACCCAGGCCTGGTTCCTTTCTTTATTTTAAAAATGTTATCTTGTTATTTTTCTTTAAGTTTCGTTGAGAACTAATCAGCTCAAACTTTTCATCATGCTATCTATCAGATTGTATCTATTTACTGTTTGTAAGTTTTCCATTCATAATGTTTATCAGTTTTGCTACTGAAAGATTTGACTGATAATGTACCTAAAACATTTAAACTTTTTAAAAAGTGAAACTACTCACACCATTAAAAAGAGTATTATCTGATCTTTAAGTAGAGCTGGTCTTAGTAAAAAAGTTGTAAATGATAAAACTGATAAGTGTGCCTATATAAAAACTAAATACATCTGCCCATCAAAAATATCCAAACCAAATTATAAAGCCAACAACAAACTAAAGAAGTATAAAAGACAACAGAAAAAAGTTAATAACTTTAGTATAAAAAGAACTCTCACGACAATACAAATGACGAATTCCAGAAGATTTTAAAAAATGTGTAGTTTAAAAGGAGAATCTAATTTGTAGAATGAGTGGTAAGACTGTTTTGGTGTAGAAAACAAAGTCTGGTAGGTTATTATCCTCTCCTATGCAATGCTCCTGTATTTTGTCTTCTCAGAAGGAGAACGAGTGAAAACAGCACTGGAGACATTCTCTTTTTTTTCTTTTTTTTTTTTTGAGTTAGGGTCTCACTTTGTTACCCAGGTTGGAATGAAGTGGCAAGATCATAATGATCACACCTCATGGCAGCCTTGACTTTCTGGGTTCAGGTGAGTCTTCCACCTCAGCATCCTGGGTAACTGGGACTACAGGCACATATCACCATGTCCAGCTGATACTTTGTAGAGATGAGGTTTCACTGCATTGCCCAGGCTGGTCTTGAACTACTGGGTTCAAGCAATCTACCCACCTTGGCCTCCCAAAGAGCTGGGATTACAGGTATGAGCCTCCATGCCCAGCCATGGAGACATTCTCTATGCATATCCTACTTATCCTTCCCAACTCTGGAAGTGGCCACCTATTTACAACTTTATAATAAGCCATGTTATTAGCATCATAAAGACATCATTAAAATTATACAGCAAACATTGCTAATTCTCTCGGTAGGACAGAACCATTTTTCCAATATGGGTCAAACATATATGAATAAAACTTAATATTCAGAAATATAACGTAAAAAAATAAGTATTATGATGCTATATTATGATATTTGAGTTAGGGTCTCACTCTGGTATTATGCTCTTATAGCATTATGTAACTGCACAGGGGTTATCAAAGTTTGTGATTATATGTGTCTGATCATTTATTTAATATTATGTCTTCCCCACTAGAATGACTCTTCTGAGGCCAAGACCCTGCCTGTTCTGCTCATTTACCACCATTATTAGCACCCAGCACAGGGTCTAGCATTAGTAAAAACAGTTATTAATAAATTAATTAAAAGCACACAAAAACATGATCTCCTGAGGAGAGGAGCCTCTGAAGCACCCATGTAGTTTAAACAAATAAGTAAAATATACAGATTGACAGATGCATGTGGTTGTTTAAAATATGTCCACAAATTCTGTGACACTCCTTCCTTCAAGAGGTGGAGGCTTGTATGTGGGCTAGATTTAGTGACTGCTTCTAATAAAAAAAATAAAATGGAGGTGACAGTGTATTACTTAGAAAAACCATGTCATAAAAAGGCACTGTGGTGTCTTATCCCTTATTCTGGGAAAGTCAGCAGTTATGTCATAAAGAAATTCAAATAGCCCCATAGAGAGGTCCAAAGCAAGGAACCGAGGCTTTGTACAAACAATCAGTGCTAGTCTGCCAGGCATGTAAGTCAGGGGCCTTCAAAATGAATCCTCTAACCCCAGTGAAGCCTGCAGAAGACCTCAGACCCAGTCCAATGATTTATCTGCAAACTCATTAGAACCTAAGTTGGAACCATCCCATGTAGTCACCTGAATTCCTAATACACAGAAACTCTGTGAGATAATGTTTGTTACTGTTTCAACTCACTAAATTTGGAGTGGTTACACAAAAACAGATAACTAACATAATCAATCAACCATTATATCTCTATTATATGCATCTCTATGTGTACAATGGGGCCTTGATCTTAGTGTCTACTGTAATTTACAATCTCATAAAAGGTGAGAATTGACAAAACTTCTGATTAACTTCTCTCAAACTGCTAAACCTGTTTCAAAGTCACAGAAATATAAATACTATGATCAATTCACTTATATGTTATTCCTCTTCTTTAAAGAAAACAGAAAAAAACTCTAGTCATTCCCTAAATACATTCACATACTTACAGATTGATGAATAAAAGGTATATCTTGTGTAGCTGCCAATCTACTTGAGAAACCTGTGCTACCATCAGGGATGCCAAAATTTAATGGTTCTCTCTTCTTAATAACGATCTGAAAGATTAATTGAAACAGGATTATAGGGATATTTTCAAATAGTTATATAAAAATAAGTAGTCGACTAAAGTATCTTATAATTACTTAAAATATTTCTTCTTATCAAAATTTTCAGTGGAAAAACTAAAAATAATATATAGGCTGTAAAGAGTACCAAATTTTCCAGGCAACTGTCACACAAATCAATTATATACTAAGAAAAACTGTTTCACTTAAATAAAATTCTCATCTTTCTTTCCTTCCCTACTTTCCCCAGGTCCCCAAAATAAAATTAATCACTTTGAATTATATTAAGTAAAACCAGGTATTGTATTCTGCTAAAACTATAACCAGCTTTCTTAGCATGTGGGGTATCTACCAATATAACTTCATTCAGGCCAGTAATATTAGAATAAATTCATTTGATACTTTGTACCTTTTATTGTAAGCATTTCCATTCTAAGTAATAAGGCACTGCTATAATATACTAGGTTCCTACTGAGAGAAACAATGTATTTCTACAATACAAAGTATTCATCTATTGTGAAACCCACTACAAGGATCCTTGAAAGATACACAATTTAATGCTTTTCAGCATTAAGATAACTTGGCCAGGCTCAGTGGCTCAGTCTAAATTCCAGCACTTTGGGAGGCGAGTGAATTGTCTGAACTCGCGGGTTCGAGACCACCAGGGCAACTTGGCAAAACATCGTCTCTAGAATAAATCAAAAATTAGCCAGGCATGGTAGCGCACGCCTATAGTTCCAGCTACTTGGAAGGCTGAGGCGGAAGGATCACTGGAGGCCAGCAGATCAAGGCTGCGGTGGCCAGGAGTGTGCCACTGCACTCCAGTCTGGGCGACAGAGTGAGACTCCAACTCAAAAATAATAATAATGAGAATGAGAATGTTATCTATCTAGATAATATAAAAATGAATGTATGGTTGAAACTGGCTGGGAGGTAGAAGGTGAAGAACTGTATCAGGAAATGTGGAATAAATAATGTCCTCATTTTATATAAAAAGTATATATAAAAATAAGAAATATTTTCCATGTTTAAACAAGAAATGGGGCTTTAAGTACATTTTTCTGAAACAGGAGAGTGACTTGTGAGGGAGACTGGAATAATAACATTATAATTTTTGAAGAAGTATGAAGAGAGGGAAGGCTAGTATGAAGTAAATTGTCATTTACCACAGTGTGATATGAATGGACAATGTCTTTGACTGGCAAATCAAGAAACAGTAACACAAACATCTTATAGATAGATATGATGACAAACACTAGAAGAAGCCCAAGAAGTTACTGAGTAGCTGCTTTTGGGTAGTAGAACTAGCTAAGTAGAGTGATGCAACAGAAGACTTTTCATTATGTCCATACATATTTTTTAATTAAAAAATACATGTATTATTTTGACAAAAAGAAAGAAAAATACGTAGCCATTGTTCTTTTTCTAATAATTCCCTGCATCTCTTAGTGATCTTCCATATTCATTTCAAAGGGGATTATAAATTCCCCGAGTGCTACATCAGTTTTTTAATGGTTAAAATGGAAGCCACTTGTCAGTTTGTAGTCTGTGAACTTGTTAGAACTGTAACATGTTATCCAGCTTAGTCTCCATAGCAGAGACTGGAGTCTAGAATCTGACCTACAGTAGGATTTCAATAAACTTACAGATATAATTTGAAAAGTCTTGGGGAACAACTTACCAGATCTAGGTCTAGGTCACTTGAATATATAAAATTCTTATTTACCATGATAGAAAACACAACAAATTGAGAATTAGGAATAAGTTTCCTAATGAATACTAATTATATTTTCTAATTTCAACTACAGGAAACTGAAAAGTAGTTTAATCTCCAAAAGCACAAATCTTTAACATACTTTCTGAGTTTTCCTAATAGTTGGTGTCATGTCCTTAAAATAGTCAGGTTCTAGTTGTTCCAAAGCATTCTGCTGTGTCGCCACATTCCCATTCCCTCCTTCAATTTTCACACTTGTGGGTGCATCTTCATCCCAAGAGGTCCACTCTTCAACATCTGTCTAAATTTAATTGATCAACATTGTCAGCCACAAAGGGGCAACCTGATGAGCAACCATTTATTAGAAAAATGGGCTTTCTAAAACACTGGTCTCAATTTTTTTTGACCCATAAGAAAATATATATTTTTTATATCACATATAAAAACTAGATCATAAGTTAAAAATTTATTTTATTGTGGGCTAGATATTCTGATATATTTTGTTCTATTCCATTTTATTATATTATTTCCTTTAAAAACCAAAAAACAAAGTAAAACGAAAGCAAATGCTGTGAAAAGTGAACTGATATTAGAACTACAGACCACAGAACTGGAACCTTCCACCTAAGCCTAACCTGATAAAACAAAAGTTATCAACATTCTCCACAGGATTTAAGAAAGAGCGTCAAAACATAATATTCAAAATGTTCATGAAACAATCCAGAATTTTTTTGGCAAGCGAAAAAACCAATGTGTCTCCATTCTCATGAAAAATTAATCAACAGATGCCAACCCCAAAATATGTTGGACTTATGTAAAACTTTAAAATAGCTATTACAGCCAGGCGCAGTGGCTCACACCTATAATCCCAGGACTTTGAGTGGCAGAGGCAAGAGGGTTGACTGAGCCTACAGGTTCGAGACCAGCCTGGTTAACTTGGTGAGACCTCTTCTCTATAATAAATAAAAAAATTAGCTGAGTGTGGAGGCATGCACCTGTGGTTCCAGCTACTTAGAAAGCTGAGGCAGAAGGATCAACTGAGCCTAGCAGGTCGTGGCTGAGGTGGCCGTGAGTGTGACACTGCACTCTAGCCTGGGCAACAGAATGAGACTCTGACTCAATAAATGAATAAATAAGCTATTATAAACATTCTACTAATGATCTGTAATCCAGTTTGAAAAATACTGTTCTGTAACACTTATTAAATCTTTCAAAAACAAAAAAATTACCTGCTTAGGAACTGATGAATAATCAACTGTAGTTGGCAAAGTTATTTGGTCTCCACTTAATTTCCGTCCTCTGCCAGATCTGAAAAAAAATAAAATAATGTATTTCAAGAACTACCAAAACAAGCATAGTAAAAAGCACTACGACAGGAATTTAAGGCTTATAAAACAAAAGCTTTCTCATTAAAATTTCAATAATTAATAGCTGCTCGTTAAGATATGGTAAAAAGTCATTAATCAGGTATCTTGTGAATGTTCTTGTTTTTGTTTTTGTTTTGAGTTGGAGTCTCACTCTGTCGCCCAGACTGGAGTGCAGTGGCCGCTCTTGGCCACCGCAGCCTCGACCTGCTGGGCTTTTGTGATCCTTCCGCCTCAGCCTTCCAAGTAGCCAGAATTACAGGCATGCGCTACCACGCCCGGCTGATTTTTTGATTTATTGTAGAGATGAGGTCTTGCTGCCCAGGCGGGTCTTGAACCCACGAGCTCAGGCAATCCACTCACCTCAGCCTCCCAAAGGCGCAGGATAACAGGCTGAGCCACCGTGCTCGGTTGTGAATGTTTTTAAAATCATGGATGGGACAGCACAACTGCTTTTTGGCTTAAGACTCAGAATTATACACAAACTCAGGAGGAATATAAAGCCAAAACAAAAATACAAGGTGGCTTCAAATCATGCTCCCTGCAGGACTGTGAGTTCTGTAGGTGAAGTTCTGGGCCACCTCTGCTGTTTTAACCAGGGTGACTTGGCTTTTATATTTTACATACTAGATTTTTCTTAAGATTAGTTATTAAAGTAAGATTAGCTATTAAAAAGTTTAAAAATAATTAGTCTGAATCAAGCTGTAACTAAGTTTTAAAGATTAATATAAAAAGACCTACATTAAACAGGACAGGATAAGTCAGTTGTTACTAACATGGGCTGTGGAATCTATGTAAACCATAGTTTTCAATGCTACTTCTATTGTGTTTAGCTAGAATTATCTAACTTTAGAGCCTTGATAAAATGCAGGTATTCAAACCTACTTGCTGTAAGGATTTAATTAGATGATGTATATACAGCACCTGAACAGTCCCTGCAACCTGGCAAAACATTAAAAAATGGCAGTTAATGAGCCAGCCGGGCTCGGTGGCTCAGCCTGTAATCCCATGCCTTTGAGAGGTTGAGGTGAGTGGATCGCCTGAACCCGCAGGTTCGAGACCCGCCTGGGCAGCGAGACCTCATCTCTACAATAAATCAAAAAATCAACCGGGCGTGGTAGGGCATGCCTGTAATTCCGGCTACTTGGAAGGCTGAGACGGAAGGATCACCAGAGCCCATCAGGTCGAGGCTGCGGTGGCCGGGAGCGGCCACTACACTCCAGTCTGGGTGACAGAGTGAGACTCCAACTCAAAAAAAAAAAGAAAAAGAAAAAATGGCAGCTATTATAAATCATTAGTAACGTGTTTATTTCAAGTAATCTATCAAGTATCTACTAAAAGTTAATTGATACAATTTAATACAAGATTGGAAGTTATACTTTATTTGTTTAAACGATGACTAGAAAGGTAATATAGTCTCTTATGAAATTTATGGCATATGCCTGGTATTTTAGAACACATGATCTAAGTTCCTCCCAATGCCTAAAAGAAGCTTCTCCTAACATATGGCCAGTTATCTTTAAAACTCAATACACAATCAATTCTAAATATGTAGTGACAATAGAAATTTATGATGGCAGTAGGAATGTACTTAATATTTTCTAAATCACCACAATTTATTATCCTAAAAGTAATCTACATTCCACAGAAATTTTTAAAAATACAGGTACAAAAAGAAAAACCCACATAAAATTCATCACCACTATTAACACAATGCTTCTTTTAACTTCCTGCATTCTGTCAATACCCACATTTATCCTGCTTTACTCTAGTGAATTTAATCTTAGTTCACTAAGTGTTAACTACTTCCCAAATCCTGTCCTCTTGGGTGATTTCAACAGCCACTCACCTAAATTTTCCATTTCTTTCTTGACTTCCATCCTCCGGGGACCATCTCTACTCTGTTTCATCCCTTTGTTTCCACTATAATACCCAAGATTTTTTTTTTTAATCCCAGACCATTCTATCTCTAGTAATAAATTCAATGGTACTTAATTATCAGAGCTTTAGCAGGTACCAAATAGCTATTTAGCCAGAGACTTCATTTCTTAGTCTTCTTTGCAGTGAGGGTACCACATGCCTAAGCTCTGGACAGCAGGCTATGACCAGAGTTGTTGTGTGCAACTTCGAAATCATGCTTATTAAAATGAGAGTTGATTACTGTTCATTTCCTCTATTATTATACCCTACTCTTAGTAAGTTTTTTCATAGAATCCTTAGACCAAAAGAAATACCTAACAGCTCCACTGAACTAGGCCCAAACAAATTGAATATATATATATATATATATCCCCTAACTGCTGAGTACTCATTTTAAAAAAATACATTAAATGCAAAGAAAAATAGTATTATTTCACTCTTAAATACCCACAATTACTATACTTACTAATGAAATGTGTGTGCCTGTTGAACACGCACAGCTTCTTATGCTTTAGAATCAGAAGCAAGACAGTGACCCTCATTTTTTGTTCTACATTCATTTTGGTGCAATAGTTGCTTTTAATAACAACCTGGAACCCTAGTTTTGCAAAGAAATGTAACCAAAAATACTAGTAAACAAAAAACTTATCTGGAACATTCAAGATTGCCATCATAAAAAATGCTGCAGAATTTAATGTTGTAAATGTAAACTACCTCGAGTTAGGAGTATCTGCAGTGAATTTCATGTGAAGCCCTAATATCTCTGCACACAGTTTAGAAACCACAGCTCTAGGACAGGGCCATGTGCCAAAATAGAAGGAATTGGAGTCTATAGATGAGCAAAATGACTTACCTATCCTGAACTACCCGCATATTCTGAAGTATGAGACAAATCTATTCTGCTTAGAATTTCTATGTTAAAGATTTTTTTAATACAGCAATAATATTCATATTATATAGTATAAACAGAACTACCTATGCCTAATTTCACCTAACCACTTTAAAACATTCGAATAATGAAACAATTATTTACATCAATATTTAGTGATGATCATAATAATAAAGGTGCTCTGCTTATTTCTAAAATTCTATAATATCAAGCATGTTATTTTAATGAAAGATGTAAGAATTTGAAAGAACAAAAACAACTGAGCCTCTACTTTCTAGATCTGAAGTAAAGAAAAAAGTATTTTAAAATGACTAGGAATTAATTAATGAATATTGTAATCAAGATATTTAGCTTAAATATAATTTATCTTGTCCACAAATTTTGAAGTTATGAAGGTATCCAAAACCAGTGAGGAGATAAACAGAGGTCAGTCTGAGGATAAAACTTATTTACCTGCATATTAATCTCTTTAGGAATGAGAATACTGTTGCTAGGCAGGTACAAACTCTAAATAACCGAAATTGCGTGATGGCCATGGTGGGAATAAAAATCTGTGGAAAGGCACACAAAAAAAAAATGTGTTAAATTGATTTCATAAGCCATACTTCTATTCTGAAGTCAAGGTGAAAAATCCTATTATGCACTGAGAAAACTCTGACACATTTTTACTTTTCTCTAGAAACTATAAATATAACACAGTAAATTTTAAAATTATAATGTAAATCATATTAACAATTCAAGAAACTAGATTTTTAAGGAGTTTTCAATCGTTGTAAGGAAACTATTTTCTTTATTTTGAGCAATTTTTGAAAATTACTTAATTTATCTATTTAATGGAAAATTTATTTACAATTCAAAAAAATTATAAAGTATGAAGCAATATATATTGAATATTTGTTTCAAGTTTGAATCATATGAACATAGTAATACTAAAGAAATCTTAACATTTTAAACTTTTAGATAGATACATTTTTATACTCATTTTATAAATGAGGAAATTAAGAGAGGTCAAATAACTAGCCCAAGGTCACATAGCTAATAAGTTAAAAGTAACCACAGAGCTCATCTAGTCCAGTGGTTCACAAATCTGGAGATCTATTAAAAAAACACTGATATTTGGGCCTACCCCTAGTAAGTTAATTAAATCATATTTTCTGAGGGGTAAGGTCTGGCCAACCAATAAACCAACACAGGAAATGCAAACTACTCAAATGGAAAGGCAGCAGAAAACAAGGAAAAGAGAACAAATAACAGATGAGACAAACTGAAAACAAATCACAAGATAACAGACTTAAACCTAACCATAACAATAATCACATTAAGTACAAATTATCTTACATCCCAATTCAAAGACAGAGGTTGTTAAACTGAATAAAAAAGACCTCACTATCTGCTGCCTATAAGAAATGCATTTTAAATATACAGACACAGTAAATTTTAAAATTATAATGTAAATATATTAACAATTCAAGAAACTAGATTTTTAAGGAGTTTTCAATAGTTGAAAGTAAAAGTATAGTTAAGTTAAAAGTAAAAGTATAGAGAAAAATATACTACACTAACACTAATCAAAAGAAAGCTGAAATGACTAGAGAAAATAATGTTACCACATATACAAGTGGTAATTTCACAATGACAAAGGGATTGATTAATCAAAATTACATAAAAACTCAAAATATATATCCTTAATAACATAACTTTACCAATATCATAAATAAGACTGGTGACAGATACCGAAAAAATATTAAAAACAACTTCGTGCCTATACTTGACAAGCGAGACAAAATGACACATTCCCTGAAAGACACAAATTACCAAAGCACAATAAGAGGAAACAGATAACCTGAATATTTATCTACTAAATAATATTAAATTTGTAGTTAAAAATTTTCCAGGCCCAGATGGCTTCACTGGTAAATTCTGCCAAACACTTAGGAAGGAGTAATACCAATTCTACCCAAATTGCCAAAAAACTGAAGAAGAAGGAATATTTCCCAACTCATTATTTGAGGCCAGTATTACACTGATACTAACCCAAAGACATTACCAAAGAAGAAAACTAGAAACTCATAACATATGAATATAGACACAAAACTTTTTAGCAAAGTATTAGTACACTAAATCTAACAATAAATAAATGGGTAATGTATCACAACCAAGTGAGGCTTAGCCTAGAAAGGTAGGACAAGTTTAGTACTTGTAAATGAATGAATTAATTAATTCACCACATTAACAATCTAAAAATGAAAAAAAAACATATAATCAACTCAACAGAGAACAGAAAAAACCTCTGACAAAACTCAACATTCATTCCTCACAAAAAAACCTTCAGCAAACTAGGAATAAAAGGGAACTTTCTCAACCTGATCAAGAACATCTACTAAAAACCTACAGTAACCTGACTTGATGGTGAAAGGCAAGACACTTTGTCCCTAAGCTAAGATCATAAACAACACCAGCACGTCTGTTTTTACCACTTCTATTCAACATTGTAGTGGTGGAGGTTCTGGCCAGTGCAGTAAAAAATTTAAAAAAAAGGAAAAGGTATCCAGATTGGAAAGGAAGAAGTAAAACTGTTTTAGTCAATGTAGACAATCCAATTGAATCTACTAGTAATGATATTTTTATATGTTAACAACAATCAGGACCTCAGAAACACGTCTTTTGCTTCCCAATGACCCAGCTTTCATGCTGTTATATCTAATGTGTAGCACCTGTGTGTAACTCTACATTAAAAATAAAAAATAAAACGTGGTTCATGTCACAAGGAAAAAAAAAGAACAACAACAATCAGAAATAAAAAATGTTTTAAAAACCATTTGTATGCGCATTAAAACTTGATACTTGAGGATAAATCTAATGAAAGATTTGTATACTGAAAACAACCAAATATTATTGAGAGAAATTTAAAAGAACTGTATTAATCAAAAAGATTGTTTCAGGGCTAGAAGATCCTTGTTGTTAAAATATCAAGTCTCCCTAAATTGAGCTACAGATTCAATACAATCCAAATTAAAATAGCAGCAGGCTTTTTCTGCAAAACTTGAGAAGCTAATTCTAAAAGTTATATGGAAACACAAAGTACCTAAAATAGCCATGGCAAAGCACAACTAGTCCCTAATATTATTTCTAGGGCTAGAAAGAGTATATAAACTATTAAAGGCACAATGACAGAGTTCCAAAAGGTTTCCCTAGTAATGCTCATGTACTTTTGTACACACAGAGGCTGTCTCTACATATGAGTTATTTACTGAATGCCTAACAATTTACTGAATTTTTATGCCTGGAGGTGGCTCACTAATTGGAAAAAGAGAAAGAACAATAACTGTAAAATAAAATGAACCAGGAGAATATTAAGAATTTCACTATTTAAGTAATTTAAATATTTCCATAAAAAACATCAGTGCTCTCAGGTTCAAAAAAATACAACAATGTTGACTCCTTTCTCTTTAATAAGAGACCTTATTCAAAAGTCCTTATTTAATTTCCCAGTAATGCCCATATTCTTTCCTATTTCCACTGCAATCTCACTAGTATAAGTCTTTATTACCTCTTGCTGGACTTCTGTAGTCTTAATTCCAGTATTTACTCTTACTGAAAAACTTAATATTTTATATTTGCACTATAGTTGTTTCTGTATACTTTACTGCCCTGCACAATCCTTCTCCAGAGGATTTTATTTGATACCTTCAGTTACCATTTGCAAAGAAAAGTTTGTTTCTTCATTATGAGAATGATCTGAACAAATAAGATGGTGAATAAGAGTTTCATTTAAGATTGATTTGTCAATAAGAAAAGTCTTAACCAAAAGAAAAGTTTCCCAAATAAAAATCTGGCATACAATTTTCAGAAAAATTAAAAGAAAAAAAAAAGCCAGCAAATAGACTATAGAGCACGTGGCACCGGGGGAAAAGAAAACAGAACTCAGGAAATCCTCTATCAGGACATATGAAGAAAGATGACATTCACCATTTAGAACTGGGGAGAGCAGTCGGTTTCAAGACATATATGAATAAAGAGATGAGAATAAATTGGTAATCAAAGCCATCACCTTTCTATAAATATTGTTGGTGTCACTGTTGGTGTCACTGTTCAATAAGCATTTGTCAACACGAAAACAAGAAATAAAATTTAAAGTTTTTTCCAATTAAAAAAGCAGAAAATGATTTATTGATTACATAATAGAATTCCTTCCCTAGCAATGAAGAATATCCTCATTCTGTGGAAAATTTGCTTTTGTGATTAACAAAAGAGAACATTCATTGACTGTCTACTATGTACCAAGTATTATTATGAGATAGATAATATTGTCCTCATTTCATAGAATTAAACAGAGAGTAAGACCACGTTCTCATATTCCTACACCCAAAGACTTGGTTCAACCTATGTCTATTTCATTCAAAAGTCAAGAATATCTCATTAACAATGAGCATTCTTAGTAATTCAGTGATGGTATAATTTCCAAGATAAATTTTCCAACTAGTTGCACTGAAATGGGGAAAGTGCAACCAAGCAACACTTGGACTTTATCAATTGCACTGAGTTGTGGGCAGGAATATCCTTTGGGACTTGTATTTACTAAATGTCCCCATTCATTTAAACGAATATATATCATCACGTACTATGTAACATTCACTACCCTAGATGCTGGAAAATACTACCAACCCCGTACAGCGAAACCTTGTGTGCACTCGCAACTGTCATGACCTTGTACATACACTTACTCCTGTGGAACAGAAGGGACTAAGGAGTCAGGACCTCCATCAGTCTTGTTCAGTTTGGTATTTCTAGGTCTTAGCCAATACTGGAACTTAATAGGTACCAAAACACTTGCGGAATAGAAGAAAACTAGCATTCTTTTAGCACTTAATGTGTTAAGACAGTTCCTGATGACATATGTTCTATCACCTCACTGAGGACAGACAAAAGGGGTAGATTTCTTTTTTTTTTTTTTGAGTTGGAGTCTCACTCTGTCGCCCAGACTGGAGTGCAGTGGCCGCTCCCGGCCACCGCAGCCTGGACCTGCTGGGCTCCGGCAATCCTTCCGCCTCAGCCTTCCAAGTAGCTGGAATTCCAGGCATGCGCTATCCCGCCCGGCTGATTTTTTGATTTATTGTAGAGATGAGGTCTCGCCAAGTTGCCCAGGCGGGTCTCGAACCCGCGGGCTCCGGCCTTCCATGGAGGTAGATTTCTACTACTCCCATTTAACACAGGAGGTTTAGATTCACTCACCCAGGACTTAAAGGGACTGACCCCAAAGCCCAGGCTCTACCCACACCATAACTCAAATAAGAAACCTTTTAATTTTATACCTATTGCTTCAGTGTGACTTTTGAAATGCCGTCCAGACTACCAATTGTATAAATACTTATCTTCCGCTACTTTGCATTTTGGTTGCTTTAAAATACTTTCTAGAACTGAGCAGTATTAATATAATCTAATTTCAAAATTATAATTTCCTTAAAAGTTACCAGAAAAATAAAAAACACGAGACATTGTGGAATAAGGTTCAAAACTATGAAGCAACCAATCCTCACGCAGGGCTTTTGAAGAAATGACATCTCTAGGAAATCAATAGGAATGAGTGCTCTGCTGTAACCACTGAGAATGATTCCCTACAATTAAAAAAAAAAAGAGTGGCTGCATTAGAAATCGGTAGATCATATGTAATGTATCTTTCCTTCTTGTAATTCTCTTGTTGTAAACTGCTCAAGAGCCTTTCAGCAGATTCGATATATCACAATTCTTAAAACTAGCCAAAAGTCTTGGTACACACCAGAGTAAACAAGTCTCCAAGTGCTGTATTTCTAAAACTCTTATTTCTGAGTCTTTTCATACCCAAACTTGGAAAACCGCATGATGTAGTACAGTACAGAATATTCCCCCAATTAAGTTTGTTAACTCCCTGAAGTAGGTTTAAAAAATATCACAAAGCTCCAAAAATAAAATTTACCTTAACTCACTTAAATCTGAGACTAACAAAGCGTTGGCACTGGCAAGACAGAGAAGAAATGGAGTGGAGTGTGAGAACGGGGCCAAACCCGAACCTTCAGTGCCACCCCTGGCGGCTGAGTCAGGCCCGCACAGATGTGCCACCGCCGGGACAGTCGCAGAGGCGGAGTGAGGTCTCCCGAGTGACCCAAAAGGAAAGACTTTCATAACTAGAGTGGCTCGAGGTCAGATTACCCACGTACAAGGGGCTGATAAAAAAAAAAAAAAGTCATACCCACTGCACAGATGAGAAAAAACATGATCGCGTTCGGGTGACACAAGCCGACGCCTTGCGCAGGGCGCTGCGTGCGACGCTCTGGTGGCAGGAGGTGGCTGCCAGGCAGGCTGGGGTTTAGATTTTGGAAGAACCGGCCTGGAGACGTGCGAGGCCTGGAGAGGGAGGGCAGGAAGTCAGGCACGTCTCCCCGCGGGAGGGGCATCTGGACAGTGGGTGCTTCCCGGCCCGGCGCCCCGCAGGCCGATGCCCACGCACGAGCGTGGCGTGGCGAAGAACACACGCCGGGGTCCCGCTCCCGGGCGCGGCCTCCTCACCCCAGGGGTCACCCTGACCCGGAAACAGTACCCCCGAGGAACAGGTCGGGCGCGTGGGGAGGCCGGGTGAAGGGGCGAAAAGCAAGGTGGGAGGGCGGGAAGTGCGGGGCGAAGCGGAGGGCAGAGGGGGAGAGCA